GCCCGCCACAACGCCTGTCTATTTTTTTTTGGTTGCAGCCTTCATTGTGGTTTGGCGGGCCCAGGCTGGATTCGAACCCGCCACCTTAGGTGTATGTGGCTGGCACCTTAGCCACTTGAGCCACAGGTGCTAAGCCAATCCAGGCCTTTCAATGGAGATCTCTGGTGCACAGGGGCCTAGTGTCAGTGTTTGCAAAAGCTCCCCAGGGAGTTCCCCTGCATGGCCAGGGTCTGGAGTCACTAACCAAGGCCAGTGTCTTTGGTGTGCCTCAGAATCCCCTGGGAGCTTTCCTTGCCCCAGCCCAGACCTATAAAATCAAAATGGGACAGGCTGGGAAGTGACCAGGGTGACTGTGTGTGTGTGTGTGTGTGTGTGTGTGTTTGAGACAGTCTCACTGTGTTGGCCTCGAGAGAGTGCCGTGGCATCACAGGTCACAGGAACCTCAAACTCTTTTTTTTTTTTTTTTGAGACAGAGCCTCTAGCTGTCCCCCTGGGTAGAGTGCCGTAGCATCACAGCTCACAGCAACCTCCAACTCCTGGGCTCAAGCAAGTCCAACCCCTGGGCTCAAGCGAGTTTCCTACCTCAGCCTCTCAAGTAGCTGAGACCACAGGCGCTCGTCACAATGCCTGGCCATTTTTTGGTTGCAGCCGTCATTGTTGTTTGGTGGGCCCGGGCTGGATTAGAACCTGCCACCTTAGGTGTACATGGCTGGCGCCTTAGCCATTTGAGCCACAGGCACTGAGCCAGGAACCTCAAACTCTTAAGCTTAAATGATTCTCTTACCTTAACCTCCCAAGTAGCTGGGACTATAGGTGCCTGCCACAACGCCAGGCTATTTTTTGCTATAGTTGTCATTGTTGTTTAGCTGGCCCAGGCCAGGTTTGAACCCGCCAGCCTCGGTGTATGTGGCTGGCACCATAACCACTGTGCTCCAGGCACTGAGCCAGGGTGACTGTGTTTTTAACAAGCTCCATGGGTGATTACGTGTTGGGAATCCTGATCCTCTACTTTGGATATATATTGGCCTGGCTTCTCATGGAAGTTCAGGTGAGTGTCTGGTAAATGCTGATTAGAGATAGATCAGAAGGCTGAAACCTTTCTCACAATGCAGCAAGTGTTTGAGGACTTCTGCCACTCTTGGGGACACAGAGTAAAATACAAAGTGTGGCAAAAGGGCTGAGCTGGTGGCTCACACCTGTAATCCCCAGTATTTTGAGATTCTGAGACAGAAGGATCACTTATAGCAGGAGTTTGAGACCAGCCTGGGCAACATAATGAGACCCCTGTCTCTAAACCAAAAAAAAAAAAAAAGCCAAGTGTGATGGTGCACATCCATAGTTCCAGCTACTCAGGAGGCTAAGGCCAGAGTATCACCTGTGCCCAGGAGTTTGAGGCTGCAGTAAGCCATCTCATTCCAGCCTGGGTGACAGAGGAAGACCCTGTCTCTAAAAAAAATAAATAAATAAAAGAGAGAAGAGAAAGAAATGACAGCAGTTTGTGCAGTGTTTCACAGTGTTTAACAGAGTGTTCCTACCCACCTTCAAGGCTCTGCTCTCAGGGGGCCTCCCTGAGTGGAGGGTAGAATAGCCTTGCACTTGGGCTCCAAACACCTAACCCCCAGCCCCCAATGCTCTTCTATAGCCTCTGGCTGTCCACACACAAACTGAGGATAAAAAAGTGTCCACTGCGTGTGGCCGTGGCTGAGAGAGCCTTCTGGAAGCAATGTCACTGACATTTGTTTACAATTGAGTGAAGCCATTGCTCTTCTTGACTCTGCTGTTGTCCCGGGAGCAGGAGACCAGTAAATACTGTTTTACTGAGGCTGAGCGGGCCTTATTTCACATGGGTCTCATTCTTCTTTGTCCCAGGAGAAAAAGAAAGAGGTCTGCTCTATAAAGTGGTTGGGGAGGCAGGCGGGAGGTGGTGGAGGCAGTGTGGCCACGTGGCTGGGGACAGTGGCTGGGTGCTGGGCGCTGGGCAGGTGTCATTTTTTATGAATGATTTCCTGCCAGGTAGAGAAGCTGACTCAGCCCACTGCCTCCCATGGGCTGGCGTGGGCCTACTTTTCCGGAGCTGAATACTAATCTGCCCGGGGCAGCTGGCTCAAGGGAAGGAAGGGCCCCCAGCTTTGAGGAGAGGGCAACTGTGCCTCTTGGCAGTTTTTCTCCCCCAGAGCTTTTCTTAGCTTGTCCGGGGTGTGCTGTGGGGGAGGAGGCAGGGCTCACCTAGCGTTTCCCCTCCTCCTCTCCCTCTCCCCCTCCTCCTCCCAGGCTGCTGTCAGCAGCTTTCAGCTTCACTGCCTGCCTCATGCCTCCTGCACTGCCTTAAGCAGATGTGTCTGTGGGAGGGGGTGAAGGTTGCTCTTTGAGAACCCCTCCACTCAGCAGGCCTCCGCAGCCAGTCCTGGAACCCAGAAGGCTCCTCGAGGGTGGGCATGGACTGAGCTCTTAGGAGACCAGGGAGGCAGAGCTGGGGAGGGATTCTGCCTTCTCCACCTGAGCACCAGCCAAGGAGCACTCTCCCCAGACAATTCCAGCACTGGCTCTGTCATCTCCTTGGGGTCAGAAAAATCATTTCAGAGAGACACTCTCCTGTGTTTGTGGCCAGTGTGGGAGAGTTTACAGGCCTATCTCAAAGACCAGGCAGGAGGCATGTGCCCCAAGCATGGGTGTATGTGCCATGAGGAAGGGAAAAGGAAGGGAATTTGTGGAATGTCTAACCACCTATTAGGCCTCAGGAGTGCCTGTTATCAATCCCCTGCCTCCCAGGGGCCCATGCAGAGCTGTTTAGCCTGCAGACACCTAATTTCACTGAATTCTTACCTTAAGAAGTAGTTGTTATTGACCCATTTTACAGAATAGGAGACAAGCTCAGGGAGGGAAATTCATCTGCCCAAAGTCACCCAGCAACTAAGTGGGGGAATGTGGCTTCAAATCAAATCTGCCTAGGCCTAAAGCCATTTCTTACTCTTCACTCTGCCTCATGGAGGGAAAATCCATGAAGAATGTGAATTTGACTCGGCACCCATAGCTCGGTGGTTAGGGCGTCAGCCACATATACAGGGGCTGGCGGGTTCAAACCCAGCCCAGGCCAGCTAAACAATAATGACAACTATAACAAAAAATAGCCAGATATTGGGCTCGGCCCCTGTGGCTCAAGCGGCTAAGGCGCCAGCCACATACACCTAAGGTGGCGGGTTCGAATCCCCAGCCCGGGCCCGCCAAACAACAATGATGGCTGCAACCAAAAAATGGCCAGGCATTGTGGCGGGCATCTGTGGTCCCAGCTACTTGGGAGGCTGAGGCAGGAGACTCGCTTGAGCCCAGGAGTTGGAGGCTGCTGTGAGCGTGATGCCATGGCACTCTACCCAGGGGGATAGCTTGAGGCTTCGTCTCAAAAAAAAAAAAAAAAATAGCCAGATATTGTGGCAGGTGCCTAGTGTCCCAGCTAGGAGGTTGAGGCAAGAGAATCACACAAGCCTCAAGAGTTGCTGTGAGCTATGATGCCATAGCACTCTACTGAGGGCGACATAGTGAGACTCTGTCTTTCTTTTTTCTTTTTTTTTTTCGGTCGGGGCTGGGTTTGAACCCGCCACCTCTGGCATATGGAGCCAGCGCCCTACCCCTTTGAGCCACAGGTGCTGCCCAATGAGACTGTCTTAACAGAAAACAAAGAATGTGAATTTAGAGGGAGATGCTGTCTTGTTGGGCACCAGAAGAGAAGTGGGGGCTGGGAGTCAGGGGCTAGGGTCTAACCTGCTACACAACTTGGGGTGGTCTCCATTCTTTCTCTGCTCCTGTTACCCTGTCTGTACCCCCAGAGGGCTGGGACCAGTGGTGGGGTTTTTTCCTCGTGAATGACCTCACTGGGGCCCAGACACTGGCTTGCTAGGAAAGGTTTACTTGCCACAGCACCTTCCTGTGGTTCTTCTTTCCTTTTTTTTTTACTTTTTTGAGAGTGTTACGTTGTCACCCTCGGTAGAGTACCGTAGTGTCATAGTTCACAGCAACCTGAAACTCTTGGGCTCAAGTGATTTTCTTCCCTTAGCCTCTCAAGTAGCTGGGAGAATAGACGCCCACCACAACACCTGGCTATTTTTAGAGATGAGGTCTTGCTCTGGCTCAGGCTGACCTTGAACCTGTGAGCTCAGGCAATCCACCCATCCTAGCCTCCCAGAGTGCTAGGATTGCAGGCATGAGCCACTGTGCCCAGCAGAGACAGGGTGGTCTCCAACTCCTGAGCTCAAGCAATCTACCTGCCTCCGCCTTCCAGAGTACTAGGATTCTAGGTGTGAGCCACTGCACTCAGCCTTGTGGTTCTTTTTTTACTCTTTCACTTGCCCTCTCAGGCTCTCTCAGCTCAGAAAAAGAAAGGCTCTTCTGGTAAACGGTGCTGAGCCCTACTCCCAGCTCTGCCTGCCAGGGGCTCTGTGAACCTGGGCAAGTCACTAGCCCACCCAAGCCTCAGAGAACAGGGACCATGAGCCTCATTCTGCCTCCGTCCGTCCTAAGGAATCAGGGAGAAGGTGGATGTCTAGGACTCTGGGACATGCTTAGGGAAGGAGGAGCCTCCAGCTTCTTGTCTCTCTAGCAGTAGCAGCAGCAGCAGCATTGATCAGCCTGCTGCCATTATCAACACACACTTGGAGGCAATTTGCAGGTGGCCACAGGCAGCAGGAGCAGAGGGGAGGACGCAGCCTCTGGAAGGCCTGGAAAATCTAGTTGCTGGATTTATTTATTTTTTATTCTGAGATAGAGTCTCACTATGTCACCCTCAGTAGAGTGCGTGGCATCACAGCTCACAGCAACCTCAAACTCTTTGGGCTTAAGTGATTCTCTTGTCTCAGCCCCCCAAGTAGCTGGGACTACAGACACTCGCCACAATGGCCAGCTATTTTTTTGGTTGCAGTTGTCACTGTTGTTTAGCTGGCTCAGGTCAGATTCAAACCCACCACCCTTGGTGTATGTGGCTGATACCGTAACCACTAAGCTACAGGCGCTGAGCCCTGGCTGTTTTTTTCTTATTGTTGTCATTGTTGTTTAGCAGGATGGGGCCGGGTTCAAATCTGCCAGCCCCGGTGTGTGTGGCCAGCGCCCTAACCCCTGAGCTATGGACGCCGAGCCATAGTTGATGGATTTAGAGCAGCAGGGTTCAGGTCTTCTTCTGCTGTCATATCTGCAGGCCAAGTCATGCCTGCTCCTTTGTCCTGGTCTTTGTGCCAAGTCTCTGAGAAGTGCCCCTATCCTGCTAGCCAGGAGAGGAAAGAGAACAGCAAGCATGGCTGGTGATGCTGGAAAGAAGATCAGAGGTCCTAGTATGACAGCAGTTTGAACAAGCTGGCAAGTTCAAACACAGCAGGTACCTGGATGTCCCTCTCAGTGTTGCCTGGGAGGGACATCTCTGCAATCAGCATGCTGGCTTCCTCCTTGCAGCCCTATCCTTATTGCTTGCAGGTCCATGGCAAGTTGCTGCCTCTCCATGCCTCAGTTTCATCATCTCCAAAATGGGAGCAGTGCCTCCTTGGGCTGGTGGAGGCATAAATGCAGTCAAGTGTGTGCCTGGCACCTGCAGTGAGCTGTCAGTGACAGCCATCGCTCAGCCCATCTCTTGTGTTATGCTGCCTGCTGTTCCCCAGATGGAAGCGACTTCACAGTGCCCTGCAGAAACTTCCCTTGAGCACCAGATGCCTGCATTGCACTTCTTCAGGAGTCTGTCTCCCCATCTGGACAGTGGGCTGGGATCCTGGAGGTCTGACACACCTCCCAGCTATTGCTGGAAGGAGTTTTTTTTTTTGAGACAGAGTCTCACTTTGTTGCCCTTGGTAGAGTGCTGTGGCATCACAGCTCACAGCAACCTCAAACTCTTGGGCTCAAGTGATTCTCTTGCTTTAGCTTCCTGAGTAGCTGGGACTACAGGCACCCACAACAATGCCCGGCTACTTTTAGAGATGGGGTCTCGCTCTAGCTCGAGCTGGTCTGGAACTCCTGAGCTCAGGCAATCCACCCACCACAGCCTCTCAGAGTGCTAGGATTACCAGTGTGAGCCAC